TAGTATAGCCAGCCACTCAAACGACATGTCATGATAGCTGTGTAACATTTAAGTTTGATTTTTTTATCTGCATATGAAATAATTAACTAAAGTTAAAAACAAATAATACAAATTTCATATGTATGAAACAATCATTTATGCACACCTCTTGTTGCTCCATCCGTGCATATCCTATCTGTCCTTTTCTATAGTGATATTTCATGTTCTTTGCTCTGGTACAATTTCTATCACTTATTTCCTATTTAGATGCAAATGATTCATATTAATAAATATTAATTGCAAACAGATTATTACTAGTAGTCAATAAAGTGTACTATTACTTGAAATTTTGCATTTGTATGTGACTCCACAAAGTTATTCTCCCGTTCTTGAGTGATGATATCTTTATATATCTCTGGTGGTGTAGCAATGATATTGCCGTTGTCATCTCTTAAGTAATATTTTACTAGATCTGCACGATGTTTCCTAAGAAGAAGGGCAGCTTTCTTTAGCACATATTCCTTTCGTGACTCATCAATGATAAAACATAACTGCAAACAAAAAATGTTTAATTTGTTAGAGTGTGAATGTATGAAACAAATCAATCAAAACATTCAAATTTTACCTCGACTTCTTTCTAAATGAAATCCTTATCTCATGTCTCCAATCATCACATGTACAGAGGACTGTGTCACGAGTTTTTGTTCCAATGAAACTAGCAAATTTTTAAAAACTAGTGTAGCATTTATTCAGCTAAACACTATAAATGGTTACAATTTTTGCAGTTCAAATGTTGCGCTTTCTTCAAAAGCACTACATAAATGTTACCTTGCCATCCCATGTAGCATTTGTCCATATAAGCACTACAAAATGTGTGCCACAGAATAATTTTTTTGCAGTAGTGATTGGACCTAAAGACTTAATGTGGTATCAGAGCCTTAGTTGCAGGGGAAGGTGAAGAGCAGTGGGATGCATAAGTCCCACATCGCCTAAAGTCCTAACACCCATAGGGTTTAAATATCCTTTGGATACTTCCTACTCACAAGTTAGCTTTAAGTTGAACACGAGGACGCAATGTGGTATCAGAGCTTTGGTTGCGGGGTAGGACAAAGAGTGGGGGGATGAACAATTTCTATATTACCTAAGTTAAAATCCTACTAACAACATACTAAATACGTATAGAGACGGAGGACAGACGATTAAAAATAATAGCAAGTTTAAAAAATCAGATCTAAGTTACGCAATGTTTTATATATTAATTTTCAGACTTAACACATAAACATACCTATCAAAGATGTAGATGGCTCTTCCAGATAAGAGCATAGAAGATCCCACACTCTTCCTGATAGTTTCTGCAAGGCACGATTGTAGCGCCTAGCGAGACAGTCCGAGCATGCTTCATAGCCTTTGCCATCCTAATAATGGCCCTCTGAGCTAATCTCCATCACAACATCAGCCCATCATTTTTTGTCTTCTTCAGAGGAAAATTTTATTTACGCAGTTGACTGCATTATACGATTCAAGTTATAGATCACTTATTTTCTCTCATCTTTTTCCTCCTTCTTCTGGTTCTTCCCTAATTTTCTCTTGTTTTTCCTCAATTTCTCGATTTTTCTTCTTATTCCACATCAATTTTGGTATCAGAGCTAGATCCTGTGCTTTCCAAGTGTCAAAAATTTCCTTTTTTGACTTACCACGTATATTGTTAATATCAAACCTTTAAATTATACGATTGAAATTACGGATCTTGTTCTCTCTTAGTTTTCTCTCCTTTCTTCCTATTCTTCCCTGATTTTCTCTCTTTTCTTCTCAATTTCTCGATTTTCATTCTTGTTCCACATCAATTTTGGTATCAGAGCCAGCTCTTGTGCTTTATAGGTGTCAAATATTTTCATTTTTCACCATTATACTAAAATCACCTTTGTTATTAAATTCTTGATCGGACCCCTTAAGTTTCATGTCTATTGGCTCTCATATGTGCTACCATGCTTTGCTAATGTTTTTTCTATCTAGTTCTTGCATCGCTATCACTTTCAAGATCCATTTATTGTCATTCAGATGTCCGACCAATGTAAAACTAGGTCCATTACGTGTGCTTTGGAAAACACTGTCCGTCTCTAAAATTTCACCATCAAACAGCACCAGACGCGTTGTCACGTAGCAGCGAAAGCCTCTACCAGAAAAATTCATGTGCTGCACGCAATACTGTGCATAATGATTTTCACAAAAATTGCTTATTTATACCTAGACTTTTGGGGAAAACAATAGTTATATACCCAATTCTTTTATGATAGTCATATTTTTGACATAGATTCGTCATTCTCCAATTTAGGCTTTCCAAAAACTGAGGAGAATTAAAATTAAAATTAAAATAACAAAAAATACTAGATATCTGCATCAATTCACGCATTGTTATGAGCAATACTTCTTCTGCCTCTGTCCACAGTGCCCTTGCCTCTACCTCATGCCGAGCTGCTTCTGCCAGAGCCATAGCTACTTAACTTCCTCCAGTGCCTTCGCAGCTATGGCTGTAGCATCTTCTGCCTCAGCCGCTGCCTTCTGTGCTAAATAGTCCCCGGTATTTGCACTTTGAATGCTAGCTCAAATGATTATTGCTACATTGATCAATTTGCTGTATATAAGGAATATAAACATTGATAACATTAGTTTTTAATATTCATATAAGTGGTAGAGCTGGTAATAACTAGCCAGCCTACTAAAAATGACAGGTTACGGATTGCTAAAAGTCAATCCGCCAGTAAACAAAGCTTTCTAACCCGCACTGCCTAACCCATAAGCTGTCGTTGGCAGGCTAACCAGCGTTTTTTTTTTGTATTTTTTAAATTTTATTAATCATTATATGTATATTATTATATTTTATATTCTATCTAAAAAAAATTAAAAATGTGCATACCATTTATTTATTTGGTTTTTTTAATCAAGTATTTGAAGAAAAAAATAAAAAATTTCATCATATTTTTTATATTGTATAAGAAAAAATATTTTAAAAAATTTTAAAAAAATAGTTGGCAGGCCAACCTATCAACCCACCATGGAGGGTTAAGGTTAACTAAAAGTCAACCTGCTCTTATACGAGGTCTTTTTTTTTCTCGCATTGTCTAACCCTAACTCATCACGAGCCAACCTGCAAATCGCGAGTTGGCTCACATTACCCCCCAAATAGGTGGCTGACCCTGGGGTTGAAAAGGTTGAAGGCTTTAAGCTATTATCAAGTGTGTATTCTCTCTCATATATATATATATATATATATCTATTGGTAACTTCAACATTTTAATTCTAATGATGATATAATCAAGTGTGCAACATAAAATTATGCGAGATTTGTCTCTGGCTAGTTCATTCTTTCATAGTCTAATGTTGGGCCATTAGGGTTGGGGGCGAGAGAATAGAATTTTTAATAATAAAAGCATGCAGCATTGGCATTGTGATCGTGCCCATGCGTGGGAGGCTAGGTCTTCCATTTTAAATGCTCTCAATCAGTTCGAGCCCCACCCATGCCCTGTCCGTGCTTTTAATATCTCCTCTTTGTCTGTAAAAACTCTCTCCCCTCCCTCTCCCTCTCATGTCCCTGTCACCCTTTCATCTCTCTTTCAATTTATAATTCCCACCTACTCGTTTCAAGCAACAACAAAAAATCCCACATACTTGTCAATTTAATAATCATTCAAAACGGTTTCAATTAATTTCGCTGCTCTATTCTCTCAATGATGTTTTGGCTTCAGCAAATATACCACAGAACTAAAGTTTTATTTAATGTATAATTAGTATACATTAACCCGTGTTCAGATGATAGCCAGAAGCGAGTCACACGTAGTACTGAAAATACAGGCTGGTTCAGTTCTACAGGGACGGTCCTTCAGGGTCGTGGACTTAATTAATAAATCATATTTAATGAATTATTTTTAGTTGTTAAAGTGAAGTTATAAATGATCTTATAAAATTGAATATTTGCATGTATGTAAACCCATGCCTGCCTTACTGATTCGCATATGAAATCTACTTTTAAGTATATTACATATATATTTTTGCATATCGAATCTACTTCAAGCTCTGTGACAGACCTCACCGCTTTCTCTTTCTCACTGTTTATCCCAAAAAGTTGTAGCAATGGTGAATTGCTGTGTATGGGGTTAGTGACACCATGTTAGGGACATCTGATGCTGTCATGAGCCATGGATGAATTCGAGTACTACGTTATCTTTTACGTATTGTACCCTAAAAGGGTTGAGCGTGGTCAGCCTTAATCACCACTTCATTCACTGTGAGGATTACTCCCATAGATAATCTAAGGGCCTCTAGTGATGGTTTTACTTTTGTTTTTGCCAGTGATCATGACCCTTCACTACCTGCTAGCTACAGCTCATATCTTGGCTTATTTGATGAGTCTACTCAAGGCACATCAATATGCACTCGATTAGTTTCATGCTACGTGTTTGTAACTATGCTATTAACTTGGTGTTAACATAAGATGTTGAATGTTGTCTCATGTATGTAGTATATGCGTCATATATAGAGTAGTTATGCTGCTGATTAATTGGGATTTTGGTTCGGGATATAAATTAAACCTCAAATTTGAGATTTTAGAATTTGCTTAAAGGATTAGATTTCTTATAACACAACCGTCATGGACAAATATTGATTCATATTACCAAGGAGTCCTAGGAAGAATGACAATGTTTTTGTTTCCAACCTTGAACAAAATGGGTCAGAATCCATAAACTGACCCAATAGAGGATACTCCAAATCCAAACAAAAAAAAAAGTGTGTGTGCGTGTGTGCGTGTGTGTGCGTGTCTGTGTGTGTGTTTGTGTTTATACTTTTAGGATTCCTGATTTACAAGAGAAAAATATGCAAGACGAGCTAGCCATTGATGGCCTAATGACACTGGTTATGTTTTTGTATATCAATTAAAATAAGAAGAAGTTGGTTCTATTTAAACTTGTGCAACAAAATGAGATGTTTTCCCTTCCAACTTATGTCCAAGTAAATTTTTACAACAAATGGCTGTTGAGTCTGACATATTCAAGAACGAGTTTGATCAAGATAGAAACCATGTTGGGATAGTCACTGGAAGCATCATAAACCCAGTTACTACACAGAGTCTAAATTCCCTTGAAATTAAACTAAAGAGTGGACAAGCTATTCAGGTTAAAATAGAGCATGATGGCTTGATTAACATGCTTTATGTCTTTCTTGGATACTCTGAAAGCCAGTTGAAGATCGTTCTTAACCTCACAATTGATCTGCCAAATATTGTCCCAAGCACAACTTATGTTGGCTTCACAGATTCAAGGGGCAACAGTTTGCCTAAAAACCATGAAATCTTAGTCTCTGTTATATTGGACTGACACTCGTTTAAAATGTTCGTGCCTGAATGTATTTGATATCAAAAGGCAAGACAACTATATTTGATGATTTATGTTGAAGCCAGGTTATTTCACGTTATTTACCATATTCTCGACCCTTTCAAATTTATGCAACAGGTGAAAGAGAGTATTTTGCTAAAATCCACACCATAGGCAAACTTAGGCACAATAAAATACTGCAGCTGTTGGGTTTTGGCATAAAGGCAGATATCTTCTTGGTCTACAAGTACATGCAAAATGGAGGTTTAGATTGCTTCACAGGCAAGGACATCCTAAATTGGCAAACAGGGCACAAGATATTAGCTGGACTTGTATCCGCATTACTCTATCTTGATAAAAAGTGCAGAAACCCTGTTGTTCATAGATATGTTAAACCAAACAATATAATGCTAGACTCATATTTCAAAGCTCATCTAGGGGATTTCGGCCTGGTAGGATTGCTCTAGAATGAGGAATTAGTAATCACAAACCTTGCAGGATCTCCTGGATATTTGGCTCCAGAAGTAGGTTTCACATGGAAAGCCACCCCAGAATCAAATGTTTATAGTTTTGGAATGGTGGTGCTTGAAGTTATATGTGGAATAAGATCAAAGAGCAAAATAGGAGACAAGAGTTTGGCGGACTATGTTTGGAACATGCATAGTGTAAATGCATTGAACGAGTGTGTGGATGCACTATTAGGACGTGAGTTTGATGAGGAAGAAGCTAGAATGGTATTAATGGTTGGGTTGGTTTGTTTTCATTCGGATTTAGCGTTTAGACCTAAAATGAGGAAAAAGGTGCACATTTTACTAGACCCAAACAAGCCTTTGATGGAATTGCCAGAAGTAAGACCTCTTCGAGTTTATGCGTCAGTTTCTTCATCTACTTCAACTTCTAACTTCGAGTCCAGAGGAGTGTATTCATATTCACAGCTTCAATAGGGAACAATGTCTTCGTTAGGTGAGATTACAGTTGTACACGATAAACAATAATGTATTCACTATTAGGCATTAGTTAGCATAGTCACTAATAATTAGTAAATAGTACTACCTTCGGTCCTTAATATAAGACTTTGTTTGCCTTTTATTTTGATCCTAAATATAAAACTCCAATCAACTTTATTTTTCATATTTATGTATTTTTTCCCGATATAATCCTTATAACAATGGTAATTCTAACCAATATACTTGATTAGTAAAGATATTTTAGGAAAAAAAACATATATTTATTATAAATAATTAACTTAACTTCTTTCTTTAATCCCCTCAAATCAATTAACTAGTTCTTATAATTAGGACCAGAGGCAGTAGTTTATAATATTAATATTAAGCTGAGTTAATTCGCACCCATTATTACCTACTAATATATTAAGAAGACACGTATTCTTTGTACTAACTTTTCGTTGGGATGTTACCATATACCCAAGAACCTATTATTTATAGTAGATGTTTTATAATTATTAAATCTCGAATCAGATTTATTCACACTCATTATTCTACTGCCACAGCTTCGCCATCACACGCATGGGCTAGCAACTTGGCACTGTTTTTTAAAAAAAGAATAGAAAGCAGCAGTAAATAAATCACGACAGCGCATAAAAGTAAACTGCGTTTGCCGGGAGTCGAACCCGGGTCTATTGCTTGGAAGGCAATTATCCTAACCGTTGGACTACAAACGCTTTGCTTACGAAGTTACAATTACAATTTAAGTTATTAATATGAATTGTGCAAATGTATTTTGTCCAGAGTTGAGACGGTGGTCCTGTAAAGAAAGACGAATACATGGGAAAGGCCCATGCAGATTGCAGAGACGGCAATGGAGTCCTGTCCAAGCATGACCCAGACTTTATGTGATGTTAGGATGAGACGTAGGACAGGTGGCGATTTCCTAACAAGTGCGTCCCACACCTGTCTTGCCGTACATTCATGGTCAGGGGGTCGTGGTCACAGGTGGGCCCGCCCCCAGCTTATTAATTAAGAGCGTTGAGCGGCCGCAAACCGCAGTACTGCTATTTTCCACCGACGCCAACAGCCTACTGCTATTTTTGGTTTTGGGATCAAATTATTTTCCCTTTATAGCATTACTCTGCAAATCCCATTTGATTCTACGAGTGTTCCTGGGTAAACTCCATGATCATTGGTTGATTTACCCATCTTAGCATTTAACTAATTTCCTATCCAGCGTCTGCCGACACTTTTGAGCCCTCCGGTGGACACCCTCTAACGTGCAGTACACTCACACTCCCCTGTTGCATCATTGGTCTGAGGTCAAAGTTACTTTGTTGAAATAAAAGATGTGTTGATATTTACTACTCAGTAATATCTTGAACAAGCTTGTCACCTAATTAAAAAAAAGGTTGTTTTGTCTTTTATATTCTTTACTTTAAAAAAAGAAAAGTGGTGGGCACCTAATTTCTCCTGGATTATAAATTTTTTTCATTCTTTGTTATACCTCGCACTTCTATTATATCTTTTTTTTTTAAATGCTTAAATTTGCAGAGTCTTATATTTTTTTAAAAAAAATTAAGAAAGTTGTTCTGTGTCACTGAATGAATTATTAGACTCCCACCCTATTATCTGATTTTAAGTTTTATCGAGTATGTAAATATTAAAATTATGCTCCAATTTACTTTACAATATCTTATTTATGAAATCGGTGCTGAACAAATTTACTCATGAAAAGCTTAAAAATCTGTCACTATGAACGGCCCATGACCATTGGAATCGAGATCAAGTTACGTGTGAGGCAATTATTACTCGTGTTAACTTCGAAGTAATCCCACCCAGCAATCAAATTACTAATATTTACAGAGTCGTTTGCATGTCAATAAGGAGACCGTTGAGACATTAAACATGTACATCAATCAAATATCGGATCACGATGACTCTAGCTCTTCTGGATTGGTGGATTTTACAATTCGATCTGATACAAACATTTGTGGTCCTTGTCGTAAGGGATTATCTGGAAAAAAAATTTTAGTTCTTATTACAAGAGATCAACATGATCATTAGTAAATTTTTCCTGATTTATCCCTAATTACAAATTATTATTACTCATGTAACTAACTTTTCACTAATTTCTCAAAATTTGTTATAAAGATAGATTTGGAAAATTTTATACTTTTAAAACACATTTAATGACAAAAACGTTATAAATGCATTTTTGCCGATCACGCAAAGTTCCTTATGCCTCCGCAGTCCGCACCGCACTTCCAATTGTTATAATTTTAATTTTTAAAATTTGAAATCCACAGCATCAGTTGAATTCACATGCTCATAGAGTTTCTTTTTAACTCAATTTACCGATTCAAATAGAATGAATGAAAGTTGTTCTGTGTCACTGAATGAATTATTAGACTCCCACCCTATTATCTGATTTTAAGTTTTATCGAGTATGTAAATATTAAAATTATGCTCCAATTTACTTTACAATATCTTATTTATGAAATCGGTGCTGAACAAATTTACTCATGAAAAGCTTAAAAATCTGTCACTATGAACGGCCAATGACCATTGGAATCGAGATCAAGTTACGTGTGAGGCAATTATTACTCGTGTTAACTTCGAAGTAATCCCACCCAGCAATCAAATTACTAATATTTACAGAGTCGTTTGCATGTCAATAAGAGACCGTTGAGACATTAAACATGTACATCAATCAAATATCGGATCACGATGACTCTAGCTCTTCTGGATTGGTGGATTTTACAATTCGATCTGATACAAACATTTGTGGTCCTTGTCGTAAGGGATTATCTGGAAAAAAATTTTTAGTTCTTATTACAAGAGATCAACATGATCATTAGTAAATTTTTCCTGATTTATCCCTAATTAGAAATTATTATTACTCATGTAACTAACTTTTCACTAATTTCTCAAAATTTGTTTTATAAGATAGATTTGGAAAATTTATACTTTTAAAACACATTTAATGACAAAAACGTTATAAATGCATTTATTGCCGATGCCACGCAAAGTCAGGGAGATTCCTTATGCCTCCGCAGTCCGCACTCCCCAGGGACATTGAATAATAATGTTATAATTTTAATTTTAAAATTAAGCGTGAAAAGCTCCACAGCATCAGTTGAATTCACATGCTCATAGAGTTTCTTTTTAACTCAATTTACCGATTCAAATAGAATGAAATGAATAAAGGACATGTGACACATATTCACATTTTAAGTACACGACGCTGATCATTGATTGATAATTTAATCACGTAATTGTGAAATCACAGGCGATAACTTGTGTTTGTGGGATGAGGAATTTGGAAATGCAGGAATTAAGGTATTTCGTAGGAGTTTGTGGTGGGGATATAATAAATAATAAGGCATAAAATGATTTTCGTGGAGTATAAAAAACACTTACTTTGGCGTGACGGTATGTTAATATAGAGCAAATGGGTATCTTTTCAGCTGAAGACACATATGGACATTCAGTGACCCATTCTTGGCATCCGATATATGGCTTAGCTACCCACTTGGTTAACCTCACATCAAAGTCCAACTCTGTGCATTGTTAACTATTTATGATTTCATCTATTTTTCTTTAATTTATAATTCAACTAGATATTGGCTCGCATAGTTTATCCAAAAGTATGAAAATGAAAAATGAAAGTAAGTATTGGTCACGCTATTTATTATTTCTAATACTCCTTTTATCTTTAATATAAAATATATTTTATAATAAAAATTACACTATAAAATAGGTTTTATATTAAGAACTGATGTGAGTAGTATTTTTTACTTGATACATGTTATAAGTGGCCTTAATTGGAACATGAACATCATATTCTATATGAAATTTTCGAGATAGGTTTTATCATGCGTGACTTATGAATCATTTGAATTTTTAATGATTCATATGTATAGATATTTAGAGTATTACTTTAATAGGATGATATAGGAAATTTAATGTAAAGTTTTTTGTGCTTTTGAGTAAAAATAAAACTGAAAAAAAAAAAAGATTTTCAGGGCAGGATCCCAAGTCAACCGTATATCTCAGTTATACGGAAGGATTCCCACCCCATATTTGGTTATAGTGCTTGCCATTGAACCTCTCGACGGTAGTTTTTGTTTATATATGAGATTGGAAGAGTATTTATTAGTGAATGAGTCGTGGGTGAAGAAAAGCATTAATAATTTTCAGGGGAAGAAACATTACTCTCAGCGAGTCGTGAGAAAGAACCAATTCAATTGTTTTGAATTGATTGACCAGGCTCTAAGGTAGAAATGTCAAACTAATCTTGTTTGAAGAATGTCAACTTGATTAAACAGTTTTTAAATGAGTTCAATTACCTTTAGCGAACAAATTAAAAGAAAAAACAGAGTCAATAAAAATAAGAACCGATCCAATTATTAAGAAGTCGGTTCATAATTTATAAAGTAGTAAACTCCACTATTATAAACAATTCAAAAGCCCATATTTATTTTGCTATTGCGATTTATATGTCTTCTCACTTATTTTTTTTTTTTAAAAAAAGAAATAATAACAGTGGAAGTAACCATGGAACGATTGTGGATCGGAGTCGGGTTGAGGGTGGATTGGAGTGAGACCGACGACTATTATAAACAATTCAAAAGCCCATGTCTGTCCTGCTATTATGATTTATATCTCTCTCTTTTGTTCTCTATCCTTCTCTCTTTCTCTGTGCAGGCTCAGCACTCTGACTTGCCCTCACAGACACACAGCCGCACAGAGACCCGCTTCACCTTCGCCCTTTCTCCTCCTCCGACAATGGGAAAAGGCGGATCTCTCAGTGATGGCGTCCTCAAGAAGATCGTCCTCTCCTACGCCTACGTCGCCATATGGATCTTCCTCAGCTTCACCGTCATCGTCTACAACAAGTACATTCTCGACCGCAAGATGTACAATTGGCCTTTTCCCATTTCCCTCACCATGATTCACATGTCCTTCTGTGCCTCCCTCGCCTTCCTCCTCGTCCGGGTCTTCAAGGTCGTCGAGCCCGTCTCTATGTCCCGCGAGCTCTACATCTCCTCCGTCGTCCCCATCGGCGCCCTCTATTCCCTCTCCCTCTGGCTATCTAATTCCGCCTACATTTACCTCTCCGTCTCCTTCATCCAAATGCTCAAGGCCCTCATGCCGGTCGCCGTCTATTCCATCGGCGTTCTCTTCAAGAAGGAAAACTTCAAGTCCGATATCATGGCCAACATGATCTCGATCTCCCTCGGAGTCGCCATCGCTGCTTACGGCGAGGCCAAATTTGATACCTGGGGAGTCATCCTTCAGCTCGGTGCCGTCGCTTTCGAGGCCACCAGGTTGGTCATGATCCAAATCTTACTTACCTCTAAGGGGATCTCCTTGAATCCCATCACTTCCCTGTATTACGTTGCTCCTTGTTGTTTCGTCTTCTTGTCCTTGCCATGGATCTTTGTGGAGTACCCGGTGTTGAAGGAGACTTCTAGCTTCCATTTCGATTTTGCGATCTTTGGGACCAATTCTTTGTGTGCTTTCGCCTTGAACCTCGCCGTTTTCCTCCTTGTCGGAAAAACATCTGCTTTGACCATGAATGTGGCCGGTGTGGTGAAGGATTGGTTGTTGATCGCTTTTTCTTGGTCGGTCATCAAGGATACTGTGACCCCCATCAACTTGTTCGGCTATGGACTGGCTTTTTTGGGAGTGGCATACTACAACCATTCGAAATTGCAGGCTCTGAAGGCGAAGGAAGCTCAGAAGAAGGCTGCCCAGGCTGATGAGGAGGCAGGCAGGTTGTTGGAGGACCGGGAAGGAGATGGGACGGGAAAGAAGAACGAGCAGCAGAATTAAATTAGTTCGATACCTCATTTGGAAAAAATGAAAATGCAGAAGAAAGAAAATGACACGAGGAAGATTATTGCTGAATTTGTTTTTAAAGCAAAGGAAACTACGTGCTCTGTTCTTTTGGTATCTTTTTGGACAGATTTCCGATTTGGTATGTTGTTTATTAAAATCTTATTGTTATTATTGGTGACCGTGGCTAGTTCGTTGTTGTATCACAGATTTGAGATTAGTTTATGTTTCCCATAAAGACAAGCCAATGTTGGTGGAGTCTCAATTCCTTCTATTTTTGGTCTCTTGCCCCTTGGGTCGAATTAATGTTCTTGTAGTAACATTTTATATGGGATTTAAATGCTTCTGTATTCATAATTTATTTCCATTGACGAGCTTCTGCCTCAGGTATTATGAATTTGGGATTTAACGGACACATGATGTTCGGTTAGATAACAGTTTAGATCTGGTGTTATTATGTTGAATTGTGGTTATCAGGTTCAGTGAATTCACATTTTGGTTAGTGGAACTGAACTGAGCACACATTCTTTGGGGTCCCATCTGTAAGTACATTTACAGTAGGATTGAAATGTGAAACATTGTATTTGTAATGCATCAGGAAGTTACCAAATATGCATTGTGAAAATTCTATCTTCCCCGTTTAAGTCTACCCTGATGTCAAGATGCATTATCCTTTGAAAGGAAACTCTGGTTTGGTCAATCAAGTCCGTATTTTCTTGTTTGGGACCTTGTGGAGAAAAAGTGATAATGGGATTTCTGAGTCCATATCTTTTATGGTTTTCTCGTAGTTCAGCGGTTGCAGATTCTGTGTGAACTGAATCTGAAACATGGCAAGATGCCCAGGAATATTCTAATGCAATAATTGGTGCTAGGGTATCAAGCATCATTCCCAGCAAGCAAGAGGGCTTGAATTCATCAGCTTTGAATTTAAAGATGTGAGATATGATTAATAGAGAGCAGTAGTAGTACTCTTAAATCGGCAGAAAGTGCAATATATCTTTGTAAAGGTCCATATTTTATCATGTTGGCAGGAAAGCTAATAGTTCTACTTAGTGACTGAAGCGAATGTTGCAATATTGTCTGTTTTGTGCTCCAAGTTCAGAGTAGATTTTCCCAAACAATATCTGCAGAATTTATTTGGGAGATTAGCCGTACGAATCATTTTGACTTGTAGCAGTGATTTGTGGCCGTGTGTAATATGAGGAGGATAATACTTAGATTATCCCGTGAGCAATACATAGTAATATTGGCCTCCATCCACTCATTTTCATATGATGGGGTTGGGTTGGACTATGATGAGGATGTATCGTCACTAATGGCCAGCTGCCCTTCTCGAGTGTTTGCTTGCGGAACGACAGGACAGCAAATTGACATGTATTTTTCAGTTTTTAGTTTTAAAATGTGTTTTTCTTTTTGGATACAAATTAAAAGTATGTGAAACCCCAATCATTAGGGCTTGTCACACCGGGGCTCTCATTAGCTGAAGGGCTGGGCCTAGGAAAATTGTTCCGCCCCTGAGAATGCGTTGAACTCTGTTTTTTTTGTTTTTAATGAAGGGTTGAACGTCCTTAAATGCTGTTGTTTTCACATTGATGTTAATATTAATATATAATGCATAGAAATCCTAACCGAAAATGGATTACGGTTAAAGTATAAAACTTTATTCATATAACCAAAAAAAAAAAAAAAAAGAAAGTAGCATCCTTTATAAAATCAAAAGGGGGAAAAATCAAGAAAGAAGAAGCAAACAAGCGAGTGGACTTTCATTCATGCTCCCAGAAAGAGGGAGAACACAATAGCTAATGAGAAGGGAAGTTGGCAAGCGTCGCAATCGACTGAATTGCCGCACTACGAATATAAGAGCAGTCCTATAGAAGCGTGCGCATGTGGTCATAGTAACATGTATGACTTCGCATTTCGCTGTCATGGGTTCGTATCTTGTAGCCATAATTCGGGAACAGGGGCTCAATTAATTGGGTGCCTCATTTCAACCTCGGAAGGATAAAAAAAAAAAAAAAACTTGCAAGCCGCGGTTAATTACAGTGGAAAATGTGTGTGTGTGTGGAATCCAACATCTGACTCGAATCCACTTTGCACGAAAAAGAAAATTTACGTAGAGCTGCCGTCTCCTTACTCAAGTGCCAATCTGGGACTCTATGACGGCGAAGCTGCGATTTTGAGCTAACAACCCTAATTCCAATTTTGTTGGTGGCTGCTGCTGGGGCTTTCGTATACCTTGAATATTGGTCCTGTTTGGTACGAAACAAAGAAAATGAGAGGTAAGGATTGTGATTGGTATTTAGAAAATACGTTAAAAGAGAGTTGTCTGTGCAAAGCTAAAAACAGCCGCCATGGTGCGGCTTTCTGAAAGCTGAATCCTGCGTGAAGACGATGCGGAAATAAGGAAGAGTTAAGAAGAAAGGTGAGATCTGGGCCTTTCTGCCGGCTTCCTCAGTAATTGTCCATGCAATAATAATGGGCTGAACAAGGAAAAGCAGGTGAAGATGTGGACAACGACACCGTGTTAGGTTGAGGAAGGGACAACAAGAAGGGATAAATGTTGTTTGTTTTATTACGGGAGAAAAGGCCCAAAGACAGGAATCACGTGTTCTGGTTGCCGAATAGATACTTTTTAATAAGATAAGGCAAACTGTGGGGGTCCACCCGTTTCCCGTTTGACTTGAAAAAATTCCTCCTCACCAAACACCACAACACTTTACAATATCTTCCAGCCACCAGAAGAAAATAATAATAATAATACCGGACTTTCAAACGTTCTCCTCTTTTTTTTTTTTTTTTTGAACAAATCAAACTTCTCCTCTGCTCCGATACTAGTTACGGCACAGGCATCCTTGCTGGCCCAATTAAGTGAAAATTAGGAAAGAATACGTCTGACTCTTGCCGATCACACATTTTATTAATAAGATTAGATTAGATGAACTAATCCATCACAACACATGGTAGGTTAACATTTAAATTTTTATTGTTAAAAAAGCGTTAGATCATGTGTTAAATAAGATTATGTCTAATAAGAAGGTATGCAAGGGGGGAAAAAATCAAAGGCAGTAGTATTCCACATGGATGTGATGATTTTTCGTTCTCCGAGCCAAATCAACCGTGTTTTCTCGGGTGACCGCATCTTGGTTATGTTCATATCTTAGATAAGATCTGAAATATTTTACTGTGTTTTGGTTTAAACTCCCAAGTTCTATAAAATAAAAAGCCCCTTCCATGTCTAAGCCCTTCGATGATCATGTCCTACTATGTTTATATGGTTGCTTCTGATTGAACATGTTTCAAAAGGCTAATAATGAAGCATGAGAACAACGTGCGCGAGTCAAGACTCTGAACAAAAGATTTTTTTTTTTTGACCAGCCTCTAAACAAGAGATTGAGAAACACAAGGTATGATGACAATGGTAGGAGTATTGTTAATCTTGACATTTATTTAGAGAATGGCATGTTTTGGATGAGTTGGATAGGAGGTGCTTTTGAATTCAGGAGATGAGATACTCTGCTCACATGTGGTTTATTGATAAGGTAATGAAATCTGAATACACACACTCCTATAAAATGAGTCAAATCCTATATCCTTATTTATGACAAAACACGAGAACAGGTCAAAGAGTTTTTTTTTTTTTTTTTGGGGGTTAAATTTATAAATAATTGTTAAAATATAATGTTGCATACAACCATAATCCGACCTTTTCTCTCGGTAGCCATAATACGGCTCTTGGGATTTCCAGGAGCTGAATCTTGAAAAGCTTCCTGAAACGGGCAATGAATGGCTACAGACAAAAACAAGGGCCCTTTTGGCATCACTTATAAGTAGCTTTTCAATTGTGATTTACAGAATACGAGATAAATATGTTAGAGAAGTTTTGTCTCGGCTTACATAAAACGTATTGTAAGTGATTTCAATCGTAATGACAAATAAGGGCTAAACAGTTCCAAGTACTCTTTTGCAATACTTCAGTTTAGCATCAAATATTAAAGTGAGTGGTAGAGATCGCGATTTTAATTAAAAAATTATTAAAAAAGTATTTATTATAAATAATTACTTATTACATGGGATTAAACAAGTCATTATGACAGATCTTATTCCCTAGTCCTATCTCAATGGGTTTGTCTAATCTTATACAACAAGCAATTTTTCCTGCTAAACACTCCTTTAGTAGATTTTTTTAATTCCAATCCCGATCCCAATTTATATCCCTTATTTTTTAATGTTTCGTCCTAAATGGGATTTTTTTTCCTGATGCCAGGCAACTTGCGGTTTTCGGTCTTTTCCCCCAACTTTATTTTAACAAACAGATGGCACAAGGCATCCTAACGAGTAAGGTGTACTAAATTTATTTTGGATCCATTTAAAATGACTTGTAAATAGTGTTTTAATCGTAATTTATGAAATATGAAATAAATATGTAAAAAAAATTTTATCTCAACTTATATAAAACGTGCTTATAAATAATTTTTAAAATTATGCTAAAAAAGTTCAGATTGCCATTTAGTAACTCATGTATATCTATAAATTATTTCATTTTAAAGTATAGTGCTGGTATTAACATAATAGAAAATCATTGCCGTTAACAACACCTGGACTCAAAAGGAAAAAAAAATTTAGACCTCAAATTTGAACGATTCAACCCTCTTTTTCAAAAGATAATCACAATATGACGAGAGTGACAAGCTCAAACTTAATAATCATGCATTTATGCACAAATTAAAATTAGAGTTTAATTATAAAATATTGACAATGTTATGCCACTTGAAACTTAAAAAAAATAAGGGTTGAAATTAAATTTTCTGAGGAAATTTTTTTAACAAAAAACGGAAATCAAATTTATAATATATTTCTTTCAGCATAATAGAATAAATTTGTTTAGTTGTATTAAAAATTTTCAACAATTTTAAGAACGTGTTTCAAGGACGGAAGGACTATCCACAAAACGACATAGCATCGAAGTGAAAAAGAGCGCGGAGGAGTCAAACGACGTCAAAAGCGCCGTATTGCATGTGTCGCATACGAGGGTTTTGGTGATCCAATTTCGTAGGCGAGCCCGCACCTACCCATCCCCGAGTTCGCCGGGAGGCTGCGAAACAATGAATAGAATAGTGAGGAGGGACGAGGAAGGGGGATAGTGGAGACACCCTCCTGTTTTACCTACCCACTTCTCTCTCTCTTTCTCTCTCTGAGTTTGGTGTCTTCTCTGTAGGCGTCTTTCCCTCGGAGACCCAAGGTACCCCATCCTGATAAGTCTTCACCGCCGCTGCTGACCGCTTCTCCGCTAACGAAGCATTGCTTGGCGTCGCATTTTCGTACGGTTTTATTGATCACTCCCACGTCCAAAGGAATCCAGAATATCTTGTTTTTAACTTTTTCTGATTCGAGGGTAGAGTTATTCTTTTAAATTTTTTCTTGCCTGGAGACGAATCTACGTCTCCTATATATTCTTAACGCGCCTGAATCCACGAGAGCAGTGGATTTTGGCACACAGTCAACCCTAGCGGCAAATTTGTTACGAGGTTCTGATTGATGGGTGGGAAGGGGGTACAGGTATTTGATGATAAAAGAGATGTATTTTTCTCCGTCTGCAATTTGGGGTCTCAGTGGAACCTCCAAGACGGGTATGTGTATCCCGGAGGCTTATTTGCCAGCGTCAGTCAGGTGGGAATGGGATTGGGTATTCAGCCGCAGCCCCAGCCCAACCCTTCTGATTCCCGGGACGGTGGCGGCTTAAAACTCCCCTATGCTGAATTGTTCGTTAAGCATGTGGAATCACCGGGGAAAGTTCGGATTACTGAAGTTTCAGAGGAGGAAGGAATTCAGAAGAAGAAGGGTGGCCTTAAACTGAAAATTAAGATAAAGAATCCCTCTCTTAGGAGGTTGATTAGTGGCGGCATAGCTGGGGCAGTATCCCGCACGACGGTGGCACCCTTAGAGACAATAAGAACTCATTTAATGGTGGGGAGTAGCGGCCATTCTACTGTTGAGGTTTTCAACAATATTATGAAGACTGATGGTTGGAAGGGATTGTTTAGGGGTAATTTCGTGAACGTGATTCGGGTTGCACCTAGTAAGGCCATAGAGGTAATAAAGTTGGTGTATATTTCTAAATCTGTTCTTCTTACTTTCATTGGTTAATTTCAATTGATAGTTATTTTGATCGTTTTTGAGGGATCTTCTGCGTATTCTGCATTTAAAGACTTTTTGGCGATCTCATCAGGATCTTTGATGATATGTGCGGCCTTTTTATTTGATTTAGCCAATGAATACTTGGCTCTTGTAATTATTTTTCTCATGGAATTGGTTTTGGATTTTTGAGGAGCCATTTTAAATTCTTAATGTAAAGGAGGATCTTTTTAGGGATCATTGAGGATATAAAATCATAAAAAAATTGAATTTTCTTTTTCATCTGTCTGACGAGATATTTGAGTATCTTGTAATGCTTGGCAACTATCATTTTTAAGGCATGATAAGGTTCCCGCTTTCTAGCTGCATTTGATGCTAATTTTATGACCAACATGTTCTTGTTTTTGTCTTCCCATTAGGATTGCCAACTCCTGACCTGACCCAATGAAAACCGGCTCCTAATATAACATCATTCTTTAAATTGTCTACCTTCGCCTGTTTATGATTAGTGGTTATCTTCCAATGTAAGTTCCTCCTTCTGAATATTCGATCCATTCAATTTGGTTTGTGCATGGGTTGAGTGAATCCAGTGATCCACATCGAATAGGAATGCCTCTCTCAACCAACTAGCCTGTGTCTTTCTATCGGACCACTGATAGAAGTAGCTTGTCTTCATGTAGTGATTTATAGCTTGTCAATTTCCTTTGGGATGGCGGTGTGACAATTACCTGGATCTATCTATGTGAGAATTATTATTTGTATTAGACTTCAGTAGGAGCTGTTGTCTCCTTGACTTCCTCTGGTTTCACCGCACTTGGTTCAGGGCTTTGGCATTGTCTTTCCATCTATTGATACCTTTCATATGAATACGATAGTGGTTTTCTATTTTTGTGGGGCTTTGGCAGTTTTATAGATGCCAAGAAAATGGCTTTTGTGGTAGATAGTAGTTGTTTTGTCTTTTCAGAAGCTATGTACCCTAAGGCTAATCGTTTCCCCCCAACTCGACCTATTATGATGAGTTTTCTTAATTTGATTTAACAATAGTGCACCGAGTGCATGCTGAAGACAAGTGGGTATCCTTTGTCTGTTTATTCTCAGTACTTGGAGAAGCTTTGTAGCAAATTTGTGCTTGAAATTTCGGAAGCAACTTATTTGCCAGGCTTTGATGAAAGCTATACATGATTGGTTTTTTCGCATCTCAATGTATTTTTTTGTTTCTACAGCTATTTGCTTATGATACAGTGAACAAGAACCTATCCCCAAAACCTGGGGAACAGCCCAAGCTTCCTATTCCTGCATCATTAATCGCTGGTGCATGTGCTGGAGTTAGTTCGACTATTTGCACATATCCTCTTGAATTAGTCAAGACTCGACTAACTATCCAGGTAAGTACTTTAAACATGAAACGGATTATTCTTTCCTGTACTTCTGTAATGTGTCTTAGCATCCTTCCTAAACTTAAAAGTGGCAAAAAGAAATTAAGCTGAGGTAGTAATCTTGCAGAGAGGGGTTTATAAAAGTCTGCTTGATGCATTCTTGAAAATAGTTAAAGAAGAAGGCCCTGCAGAACTCTACAGAGGCCTTGCTCCCAGTCTGATAGGGGTAATTCCATATGCTGCCACCAATTACTTTGCATACGACACATTAAGGAAAGGATACCGAAAAGCATTTAAGAAAGAGAAGATCGGCAACATTGAAACCCTTTTGATTGGATCAGCTGCCGGGGCCATATCAAGTAGTGCCACATTTCCTCTCGAGGTAGCTCGCAAGCACATGCAAGTGGGAGCTCTTAGTGGAAGGCAGGTTTACAAGAATGTGATTCATGCACTTGCAAGCATACTTGAACAAGAAGGGATCCAGGGTTTATATAGGGGTTTGGGACCCAGCTGCATGAAGCTAGTGCCGGCCGCCGGAATATCTTTCATGTGCTATGAAGCTTGCAAGAGGATACTGGTGGAGGAAGAGGACGAGGAATAATTGGGTGAGTCACTCTTCTTTGGGGCTTTATTAATGGAGCTCAGGGTTGGAGGCGTAATTTTTTTCCCTTTGGCATATTCTGTTAATTTATTTACATTACTGGTATTTTTTTTTTTCCGGCAACACTTGAGAGAAGCAATCGAGGGTAGAATAATAATGGTTTTTCGGCAATTTTTCTCTTTGGGTAGTGAGTTTTTGGATCTACTGTGGCTTAGTTCTTTTTCTTGAAGGTCAACAAGTAGTGAAATTTTGCATCGCCTCCATGCCAAGTTATTTCACCTAGTAAAAGATCAGTGTCAATGGAGTTTTTAACACTGCGTATTAGCAAAGGATCATCGGGTGATGTCGGACTGCGGAGTTAAAAAGTGCAGTAGAACTTCACCTCATGGAGTTTCGTATTCTGATGCTACTCAATGAGCGCGACTTGAAGTCCAAGATGCGTGATTTTGCTTCTAGAGAAAATTCATGAAAATGACGGAATCCAAAGTCCAACCATATCAAGGGACGGTTTAAGATGGCCGATTTAACCAAAAAAGATCGAAAAGCAACCTCAACTCAAGCAAACAATCTTAGGAAACTAATATCAGTAATGAATAATATTATCACGTTTTTTACCCCTATGAGCTCGTGAATTTTATCTTATAAACCCGAGAAAAATTGTGAACCAAACCCTTGGCACCGGGTCAAGTTGCCATAGATGTCCACGATCATATTTCAAGCAATATGCAAAATTCCATAAAAGAGATGTCACCAAAAAAAAAAAAAAACCATATGGCGGAACCCATCATCAACCTTTCTTGCTCATCGTAATCACCGACGTCAACTCTCCAAACGTACCTGACTCCAATCCGTAGATTTAAGGTCACAATTCTAGTGCCTCTTGTTCCAATTGAAGGCTCGAATGCATGTTACAAACTAAGTCAACATTATAGTGTATGAAAGAATCTACCTCTGCTTTTGCTGGTCAAATAAAAAGAAAGAATCTACCTCTGCTTTCAAAACAATCATCTTAAATTCGCATTCATGACAAAAGCGGACGTCATGTACGTTGTCACCGGCTTTCGCAGCTCACATAGATTATGATACTTGATTGCGAGTATACAACAACTGCATTACTGGCATAAATAATTCGTGCAATGTGAACAAAAATTGTCACACGGTCGCAAACAATTAGTACAGCCCAACAAGGTCAGCTTTGTCAGACAACAAGTCTTTTTGTGGCCTTCATGCTACAGAATTCGTTTTAAGTTAAAATCCTCCGGGCAACTTCCGACAGACTTGGTTAATTCCTCCTATACATATAACAACTTTTAGTCTCCGCAATAGAATCTTCATCTTCAACATAACTTAGCAGTCGATGCCACATTGACCTTTGGAAGAAGCATTTGTGCTTTGTGAGATGAATGGATCGATCCTCACCCAGAGCAAAGAGAATATGGAAGCAAGAAGAATAGACCAAACAATGACAATTGTAGGGGTGCGATTTTGGCGACCCAAGAGACCCTTTAAGAACGGATACAGATGGGCAATGACCCATATTGCAAAAAACAGTTTTCCAAACAGTGGACCCCATGATTGATAGCCACTGTCAACTGCGTATGAGACGCCAGCCACAATCCCCACCAAGTTCACAATAAGGACGGTGGTGGGAGGGATAAGAAGTGACGTCCATTTGAACACATAAAGCTCTGCGAATTCCCCGTCATCATCCGAGGCCTTTGATGTGACAGTGAAGTTTGTATCAATCCCAGCAAGAACTTTAAGAAGCCCTTGGAATACAGCAAAAAGATGAGCAGATGTACCGCCAATAACCCAGAACTGTTCATTCCTCCACCAGTCTTCTACAGTGACCCCACTCCACCTAAGTTCCAGAATTGAAGTAGCAAAAATGGAGACAAACAGGAGAATGAACCACATGCTCGCAAAGTTGCTTATCTGCATTTAGTTAGCCAGAGTTTAACCAGATTTCCAAGACGATGAAGGTTTGGTATCATGCACAAAAGAAATGTGATGACGAAAAGAATTACTCACCTCGGGAATAATAAACTTATTGGTAAGAAGACAAAATGCAGGAAGAATACAGTAGGCAAGCAGAGGAATTGAGGTAAGGGGGTAGACGATAGTGTTAATATATGCCATCCTCTGAAGAAGTTTTAGTCTCCCATTGTAGCCATACCATAAGGGACAATGCCTGCTGAGAAAGATCTCAATGGATCCCAATGCCCACCGAAGCACCTGATTGAGGCGGTCAGACAGATTGATGGGGGCAGAACCTTTAAATGCTGGACGGAGAGGCATGCAGTAGATTGAAATCCAACCACGAGCATGCATCTTAAACCCAGTCAAGATATCTTCAGTCACAGAACCATAGATCCATCCAATCTAGTGGAGATAGAAGGTTTAGTTAAATGTGTCAAACACTTGATAGTTGCTACCCATTAATCTTACCAAATGCACTAAAGTACAGTGATTAACTGCTGAACTAACCTCTTTGCCCCATTCTGTCTTGTCTTCATAGCCACAGCTGATGACATGGATTGCTTCCTTTAGAAGAGTTGCAGGATTGGTTGAAGGGGGAAGGCCACCCTGCTCCATGAAGGTGGCTGCAATGAAAACTGGGGACTGACCAAATCGCTTCTCTAGGCTCTTTTGAGACATCAGAAGTGAACTCTCTTCATCATACCCTGCAAAAGAAGGAGAACTCATTTATATTTTGTAAAGGATGTAAACATTCTGTCATCTTATTCCTATCTTTATGAAAATTATGCATACAAATCTGGAATGCAGATTACAGCAACGGGAAAACAACGAAATTACAGGTTAGTCAACACAGGGTCGCACATAAAAGCAGTGGTAACTAGTAAGGGAAGAGATTTGCGTTATAGACTTATGGTAGACCTTCAATGCCCTCCTCGACGTCTTCGGTATTAAAGATGGGGATGGTGGATTCAGTTCTTTTTGCAGCCCTCTTCTTGTCAACATATTTCTTATTGCCATCTTTTCCCTTCTTCCGAGAACCCCAGCAACTCCTCACAATAATGTTCGGCTCCAAATCTTCCTCGGCTAAAACTGGATCATAACCATATAGAGCTTGCCTGTTGAAACAACAACCAGTTCCCACATAGACTGGGCCCTGGATACCATCCAGACCTTTCAAGTTGATCTGATAAATGACAAGAAGGGGGGGAAAAAAAAAAGGAAAACATTTAGCCAAAGAAACTGAGAAGAAAGCATGGGAAAAAAAATTTATTTCTTTTTCCAACAACACAAAAAATAAGGTGAGGCCTACATCAAAGAACACAATATTGCGATTGGCATATCGATCATGCAAGTCAATGCCATCAAATCGCTGTGGGAATTGTACGTAACAAGTCTTCTTTCCAAGAACAGGATCCATCATGAAGCACATGGCCTCTTTAAGAGCTTTACTATTATTAAAGTAGTGGTCACAGTCCACGTTCAGAAGATATGCACCATTGGTCAAGACAGCTGAAACTCTAATCTACATCACATGAGATAGTTCAAAGTTAGATATGGAAGCTTTATTTAATTTATCTTGTTAAATCAAGGACAAACAACCAGTCAGTCTTGCCAGACATGAATAAGTTCATTGTTGTAGTGAATAAAATATGACTATCCATGTAGTCAACTAACATGCCTTAAGCAGCTTCAGAAATTGCGACTCAGTCAATCAATGGGCAATGCTGAATTGTAGGTTATTTCCCACTCATGTGATTCTTAAACATATCACTGATTAAAACCCTATGGCTACAAAAGCAGATACACTTACTAAGCGCATCTAAAGTGTTGAAATACAGTTATTCAACAGATGGATGTATCAGGTAAAAGTATAATCCAAATTAACGTAAGAAGGCTTTGCATAACATACCAAAGCATTCATAGCTCCAGCTTTCTTGTGATGCTGGAAGCCAGGTCTCTTCTCACGAGAAACATAAACAAGTCTAGGTAGCTCATTTCCTTCTGCATCAAGCCCTCCACTATGACCTAAGAACACCTACGCAAAAATGAAAGAGCTATGAATTGAAAACATAAGAGAGAGGGCAAAGTCATGCGTGCAATTGATGATTCATAAATATAATAAAACCTGTATCATTCCAGGATGATCCCTAGGATTATTTCCAGGCCAAGGAGTTCCATCCTGCATAGTCCATCCTTCTTCTGGCATCTTCTGAGCTTTGGCTACAAGGGCATTAATACGTACTTTGAATTCTTCATACTTCTTCTCTGTCAACCAAAGTCAATAATTTAATTTTCTGTGCCAATTTATTTGAATTAATCCCCCATGAATGCAGCAAAGGGGTAAAGCACAGAATATTCTATATGCTGATCTATAAAGGACTATCCTTATTATCAGTCAACTATTTAACTTTTTTCTGCGTTAAAAATGTTTGATATTCAAACAATTAATATAGATTGCGACATTGAAGAATTGCATTTTGTATTATTAAGGATAACCTTCATTGCTCGGCGTTCCTTCACAAAAGAAGGCTGAATCTTGTCCTTAAGGTAATCTATCTTCTGGCAAAAATAAAATTCAGGGGCTCTTGGTTCAATGTTGTGCTTTTTGCAAAATGGAACCCACTTCTTTGCAACTCGGCTGTTTCTGATAGAGCCTCAAAGGTCAACATAGCTGAACCATCATCTGATACATAGCAGGAAACCTTGTCTACGGGATAATCCACAGAAAGTATTGACAAAACAGTGTTTGCAGTAATAAGTGGAGGCTCCTTGAGAGGATCCACTGTACTAACAAATATATCAACAGGAGCTAGCTGCGATGGTTCTCCTTCACGATCATATCTAAACAACAAAAGCATAGTAAGACCGTGAATCTCACCTTATAGTAGATCAAAATGCACAAAACACAATAGGCATATAATGATCCATCCTGACCTCAAAGCCAGCCTGTCAATGTAAGTCTCACGATTAATGGGAGACCATTTGGAAACTGATCCACCTTGTCTACGGGATAATCCACAGAAAGTATTGACAAAAAGTGTTTGCAGTAATAAGTGGAGGCTCCTTGAGAGGATCCACTGTACTAACCAATATATCAACAGGAGCTAGCTGCGAGCCAATTTATTTGAATTAATCCCCCATGAATGCAGCAAAGGGGTAAAGCACAGAATATTCTATATGCTGATCTATAAAGGACTATCCTTATTATCAGTCAACTATTTAACTTTTTTCTGCGTTAAAAATGTTTGATATTCAAACAATTAATATAGATTGC